AAATTCATAAATTTTTCTCAATTAGAAAAAGGAAACGATCGGAAACGTACTCCGGAATCCTGCTGTAAATGGAAACTATCGGAAACGTAGTACGAAATCCTGTTGTAAACGGAAGCAGTATCCGCTTATCGGTTCCGGAACCAGGAGTTAGCGGGAAATACCCTGGAAACGGAGGCCGGAAAACTTTTCGGAATACTGCTTCCGGAATTCGATGGAAAATCACCGGATCAGACAGTTTTCCACCGTACGTATTTGACCTGGGTTTATGAAGCGGCACATATAAAAAATCCTTTCAATATTCATTCGGTTACAATCCGACAACTTCACCATCCCTGTGAAAACATAAACAAATCTCTCCGAGTTTTTATAATTTCTCAGAGGGACCCTACATACCCTCTCACCTCAGAACATTTTAAACCACCCGATCGCCTAACTTTCCGCTGCTAAAATCACAGTGCTATCTAGTTCACTAACGGAGGTCGTATGCACCACACTTTGCCATACATTCGCCTTTCCATAGAATTTCGATAGTATGCTGTTTAGGAATTGTCGAGCACAGCATATTTTACTGGATGTTTTATGATCATTTTGTAGGTTTTGAAAAGCTCTATCTGCAGCCTATTATGGGGTCTGTATAAGGTGTTGCTGGCTACTACAGCAGTCGCGGCAGTGTATGTTTTATTGTAGAGATCTACTGTTTGTGGAGAGAGACTAAAACCGTTTGAAAATGTCTTGTAAAAGCTCAGAATCGTGTACTCACACACAGTACAGCATGAAATCGTAGTTAGAACTGATTTTCATTTAGGGCCGTTTTGTGTACAAAGTGTCCCCCTCCTTTTATTCAATCGAATATGAGCATGTTTCTTTCACATTATTGACATATTGTCCATCTTAAGAGATATGCATTGAGTAAAATTTTCATTCCTTTATTTTCACTTTCAATTTGTGAAAATCTCAATATGAATATGGTCATATTTTATTTATTTCCCAACAGTTAACATTTATTTGAAGTAAATAAATTATATTCATATAGATCCAACCAATAACATAAAATCTAGCACAAATGAACTTGATGAACTATTCGGATCAATAACGGTCAGTTCTGATAATAAAATTCATATAGAATCATCGAATTCAGCTGGAAATCTTAATCCAATTGATGATTGTTTACCAATTTTTCCAATAACAAATGCAAATAAAACAAGTAATACACGTTTTTTAATTATTTTATTTATATTTTATTGAATTTAAATATTTTTATTATAAAGCTTCATCAATAACAAATACAAATGAAGGAGCAACCACAGAAAAAGGTGAACTTTTTCATGATTTACAAGATCTTCTTTTTGATCAATCGACAGGACAAAACATTTCGTCAACTAAAACGTATAAATATTAAATAAATTTTGTTGTTTTAAACTAAAATATATGTTTATTTTAAGTTCATTTCAAACAATAGGCTCAAATCAAAATAAAATTCCATTAAATGAAATAAAAAGTTCTTCGTCATTAAAATCTTTAGAAACTGAATATGTATTTCCAATAATATCTCTTGAATCGATTCGTCCTTCACCAGTTAATCCATCGATAAATA